TATATGTCAAAAGCAAGAAGAAATAAAATTAAAGATTTTTAAATCACCAATAATCATCCATTGGAAATTTAATTAAGAAAATAACAGGAAACGGGAGGCTGATGAAACTATCACTCCAGATGCGAGAAAGAAGTGCATTGATGTACTCACGTTGTAACTTTGGGAGATTGCCAAAGCTGCCTTCAGAATATCTGCAGTTGCATTGAGTGAAGAATGAATAAAGATGTAGTTCCTTGCAACGTGAAATTAACAATTTAAGTTTTCTTCCAAATATTTACAGTAGTAATGCTCCCTCCGAAAATGTAGCAGCCCAAATGCCCAATCAGAATTTATTGTTGATTAGAAATGAGTTAGGCAGAGAACAAAGTCTAAGAAAACCAAAGGTACTAAGGTAGATTACCAGCCATAAAAATAACTTGAAAAGACGAGCTATCCATTAACTAAAGAAAAATTGCAAATAAAGAAGATGCTAGCAACTCACGTTCCAAAGAAATGATTGCTTGAAGTCGGACATCTTCATGGAAATAACCAGAATGTCGAACCAAAATCTTCAGAGTTTCCTCCAAATAACTAAGTCAAGTTAAAGAACCCAAAATCATTATTTATGACAGAAGGGTTCGAAGGGGCAAGAAAAAACTTAATAAAAAGGATACGGTGCATAAGCGCTCTTCGTGTGCAGTGCAAACAAGCCAAGAGCTTGTGTTGCAGCTGCCTTTTCATCCAGCACCCCTGTCCTGATACTAATGTTTCGAACTCTGGGCTCATCATGAGCTTCATCATCAGATGAAACTCCTCCAAACCCATTTACATTATCATCATCCGATTCATCTACATCCACAGCAGAGCCATCGTCGAGATTGCAAGAAGAGAATGCAAGGGGTACAACATGAGGAAGATACTGTTTACAAAACAAATTTTAACTTCAAAGATGCAGTAAATTTGAGGAAGTGGTTGACAATGAAATCAGACAGATTATTACCTTTACAAAGCCATCATCCAAAATTTCTGCTACGTTGCTGAAGAATCCATGAGTGTACTCCCGTAATTCGCTGAACTCCAAGCCAAAGCCCTAATAGAAGAGAAGAGATGGATAAAGCCTTGGAGGGTAAAATAAGAACTCTAGACCAGCCAAAGACAAGAGCTTATGCATTACAGAAATTGCTGCTTCAATAAAAGGAGGTAGAATCTGATCCATCCGGGTTCTCCCAACAGACATAGCAACTATTCCAACCAACTCAGTAGCTCTTGCTCGGGAACAAAGCTCCTCATCCTTGGTAAGAACCATAAATATTTTCATTAACTCCAACACTCTCTCAGCGTATGGAATGAAAGCCTGTTCAGCTGCAGCCGCTACCGAACCAATTGCAGACTGTAGTTCATTCAACAATTCCACGTCAATTTGGAATATAGAAGATTAATAAATCATCTAAAAATCCTAGAGAAAAAAAAAAAAAAGTAAAAGAAATAAGCTGTACCATGCATGTTTCCTGCAGATTCCGGGGGCTTGTCTGAAGGGCAGACAGCAGTTTACCCATCAAAGGATCAAGAAAAGGAAGGATTTCCTCACCCATGTTCTCACAAAATGCAGCCAATGCATAGTATGACTTTTCCTGCAAATGAAAAATCACTTTCATTAAAACTTGTCCACAATTTATTCACGTCGTAATTTCTCCTCCATGGATCCACCATACCTTCACTTCATCAGAGTTATCCTCAAGGGCATTTAAAATGCACGGAAGCACACTTTCATAGAGTGACACTATTTCTGGCTGCAAATGCTCAGCAAATTGACCTAGGGCAAAAGATGCTGCCCCTCTTACCATTTGTTCAGGGTCCCTTAATGCTCCAAGGACAATATGAAGAACTGGTTCTAACTTACTCTTTACATGTTCTGTACAACCTTCTGATATGACCCCTAAAGCTGTCACAGAAGCTTCACGGAACTTTGGATTTGCACTTTGACTACTAAGAGAAGCAAATTCAAACACAGGAGGGAAAACATGCTTCGAGAGATTTAAGGCCATTGTATCAATAACCTCAGCCGCAGCTCGATCAGAAGAAAGATCATCATCTCCATCTCCATCAGATGACTCTGCAAGTAATGGGCACATAACTTGTAGAACAGGGATAATCAATTTCTGCTTTTTTAGGGAATTGGGCTTGTACTTTGCTAGCCACGAGATTATCTGAATCGCCTGAAATCGAACAAGGGGGAAAAAAAAAAAGCAAGGAGAGATTAGAACCAAAAGAAAAGGCACTCTCTTCAATAATAAATTCCAAATATTTTTTATTAGTTTTAAAATATATATATATGTACAGCCCTACCTGATGACGAGTGCTAGATTCCAAATTTTGGCTAGAACAAACTTCAAGCGAAAATTGAACAATTGATCTAACAGATTCCCCAAGAAGCGGAGCAGGAGATTCAATTAGTTCATCAAATATTTCAAAAGCTATTATTGCAACATCCTCCTCACCATTGGCAAGGCACTGCCTGGCAACATTTAAAATGCTGGGAATGAACTCCCGGAATTTGACCTGCATTAATAGATATGAACACAAATATACAAAAAGTAAATGATTGTTGCATAAGCTGGAACAAAATAAAATAAAAGAGCCCAGGAAACAATTGTATTAGACAGGACCAACTGGAGGAATGATAAAACAACTATAAACCAACACACAGAGAAAGTCTAGTTGGCTCTAGTATAAATCAAGGATGAACTCCATTCTAACATAGTCTTGTTTGGACTTACCACTTCTGCTCCATCATTAGTAAATTCTAGAAAAGATCCCACGGCCCTGGACACAAGAAGAAAATATTCATGTGGATTACAAAGCTATTTCGCAGTAAGCAGACGGAGTAACAGATAAAGACATTACTTCAAGGCTGCAACTCTGACACGGCTGCTAGTCTCGTCCTGCAAGCACTTAAGTAGGAGAGCTTGCAAATCTGAAAAATGTGGTAGGAAAGTATTTCCAATCGTTTCTGTCAGGGAGCTGAATAGAATCAAAGACACCTACTAACACCAGAGGAATCATACATTTTAGTCAGCTGAAACAATTGAATTTAGTCTAAAACTAATTACAGCATTTCATAAAACTTCAACACAGTAGAGTCCATGCACCATCATTGGATGTACAAGAAAGTGATACAAAAGATAGACGTTCTAAATTTATTTATAGTAAGGTCGTGAATGTATCTTTGGAACAAGTACGTGCAGTCTGATTGATTGCACATTATTTAAAAGTTCTTGTAGGGTATGAACTTACTTCTCTATGATCTTCCTGGGAACTCTGACTACATTGGAACAAGAAAGGCAACAAGTCCGGCCATTCTCCTGCTGGAACAGCATATTTTGCAACAATACTTACGACATTCGCACTTGCTCTCCTCACAGGTGGACTGCACCAGTTCACATATTTGTTAATATACAACACTAAGAGAATCGACAGCAACATATATGAAAGAAATTTTGCTCTCGACGAAGTAATAATCGATAAAATCTCCACTATAAAAGCTAATTAGCGCTAGGAAGAAACTAAAGACGCAATTCCACAAATCGGAACACACTCAATTCCCTTTACGCCGAATCATTTTTACTCAATTCAAGCATTCATCTCATTTTGCGCCATTATAGAGAGAGAGAGAGAGCTCAAATCTAAAATACAATTCGGAATTGAGAATTGAGAATGGAAAATCCAATAGACCTGTGCTCCATAGTGATGCTCTCAATCAAGGACTGCTTAACAAGCAACTTGAGTTGAGGAGAAAGCTTAGCCCAATGGCCGGTGATCTTCTTCCGGAGCAATATCGCAGCCAACTGACGGACGTTGGGAGTCTTGGCGGTGCGAAGGTGCTGAATAAGAGCCGGCACCACCTGAGGATCCTTGGCCAAACGCTTAATCTGCTCTTCCGCTTGCCGCCGGGCATCATTGTCGGGCATCAAGAATTGAATGAGCAACAACTCCAATGACTGCGACATGGTGATCGTCGAAGGTCGGTTCCGGTGACCGTCGCAGAAATTCCCAACCGGCAAAAGGGGGCGGAGAGAAAGCGGGTATTCCAATGGAAGGAGGAGGCTCTTGCTTTTCCAAGGGTTTTTGGGTTTTACTTCATATCTAAGATTTTATAGTCTTACGAAACTCTCGGCGATGAACTGTGCTGAAAATTCTAATGTTGGGTTTCACGCGCCAACTCTCACGCGCTCGCTCACAATTTGTCGTTTTCTTATGCAACAGAAAAAAGCATGGGAATGTTATTATTCAACCATTAAATTATTTTTCTTTTTTTGAGTAACATTAATAATTATATTTTAAAAAATATCTCACTAATTTTGTCTCTTATTTAAAAAATATTAATATTTTTCGGAGAACACCGTAAATTACTCTCGTCATACCATCAATCTTTTATTGTTGGACGGGGTGTTAGTGTTAGATTAGGTCATCACGGTTAATTATTTTAAAAAAATCATATTTATTCATAATACATGTTATTATAAATAACTAAACTTATAAAACTAAAATATTAAATTAGACCCACGACCCCGAGAGGGTGGATTGGGGTCCCACATTGTTTCGAGAAGGGAATGAGACCGTGAAGAGGGTGGATTTTGAGATCCCACATCGGTATGAAAACCTATTCATATCAGACATGTTTTAAAAATCAATAAGATAATATCTACCAAGGGAAAGGTTTTCGATCAGTGAGCACCCTGCACACAGGTCGTAGGCAGCAGTGGCCGACCAGTAGGTCTTTTGGGCATTCGAATTCAGAAGTTATAAGTTGTTTGCCTGTGACTGGCTTATTGCTCTTATGGTAGGGCAGTAGCAATCGGTCTCCATAGGAGCTTGAATGTGACTCTTATGACTACTCAATCGATTAGCATAAACTAAGGGAAAAGGATTTCTCCCGATAACCTAGCTCGCTTCGTCGCAGCCAACAAAACTTAGATTGTTGTTGACATGGATCATATGAACTCAAGCTTTGAAAACTTCGATGAAAGCGATAATTAAACACACTTGTCCACGCTTTATTTATTGATGCTTATAGATTAAGCATTTGAAGAGGTACAAGGATAGGTACTTATTTGCATGGCCTCGTGTGGCATCATACACAAGGAGAGCTAGCTAGTGCTCTCCATTTGTTATTTACATATCATTCAGTAAATGGTCCATCGTTGGCTAGCAGCGCCGTCATGCTTGTCAACCACGATCATGGGCGGCAACAGAGGCACCTCCCTACGCACATCCATGACCAAGTTGGTGTTGGGATGGTTGATGGTGCTGTCTTCCGCAAGCCCCCAACGCTGCTGTGGCTTGTCAGCGCACCTAGACACAACCACCATCGCACCATAATTCCTTTCGGACGAAGTCAAGCACAAGTGTCTATACTCATTTTGTCGAATGGTGCCGTCCCCATACAACGCCCATCGTTGGTTCTTATCATCTCGGCTACACTCATTCAACGTCACATACGAATTTTCACCTTCTATAGATTTCAAACACAAGTTATCAAGCCATTTGATATTAGCCACCATTGGGATAAAGGTCTCCGTGGCTTCCCAGCTTTGTGATGGTAAATTTTCATTGACTTCCACCGTCACCGTCCTGCCTGGTTTCGCGGTCAAGACGAGTCCCGACTCGTCGTGGTGTATGGTTCCGTCCTTGTTTTTTGTCCATTTCATGTCGTGTCTTATCTCTTTTGAGCAGTCCATTGCTACGACATTGGCTCCAACGAATTCAGTGGATTGAGATTTAGGAACCAAACAGAATCTAACGTCACTTATTCGAATCGTGCCATCTTCAAGGATGGACCATAGTTGGCTTGATTTCCTTTGTTCGCATTGGGATAAGTGAGTTGGAGGATAATATCCGAGAAGCAACATGGTGTCTAAACACAGCCCGTCTCGACCGACAAGATGTGTGCGGGATCCGAACGATCCGTAGCCGGAGGCGGCCGCTATGGCGGTGTGGGTGGCGAGGGAGAATGCGAGGGCAATGCAGAACAGGACTTGTGTCATCTTGTCCATTGATTATTAGAGTTTGGGTACAGGGTGAGAAAGATGAGATGAAATGAAGGGTATTTATAGACACAAAAACATAGTGAAAAACAACACCATTAATGGAGGATGGATCATTATTGCAATCTAAATCATAAAATAAGGGTAGTGCGAATGATGAATCACAACCCATTTACTTCCCATGGTTGAGGTGCCTTTTTTTTAAGATGAAATTAAAAAAAATTTAAAAAAATCTATTATATATATATATATATATATATATATATATATATATATTCTTAAATTAAAATTTTTCTTTTTTAAAAAAATAATTTTGGATGAATTTTTTTTAATATTTTGTTTTAAAAATACCGTTAAAATTTTAATTTTTAATGTGTTTAAAAAAAAAAAAGATTATTTTCATTTTTTATTTTAAGGTAACTTTAAAATAATAAAAAAATCTAAAAATTTATATTAATATTAATTTTTTTTTTAAAGTTTATAGATATTTTTAAAAAGTTTAAAGGTTTTTTTATAAGGTTATTAAAAAATATTTATAAGATGATGGTATTTTTGTTAGGTATTTTTAAATAAAATATTAACTTATAAAGATTTAAAAATATTATTGAAAATTTTTGAAAGTTTTAAATTATTTTCATTTTATTTATGATAAATTATATAAAAAAGAATTGATATTAATTATGTGATCATTTATTTGTTTAGAAAAATTACAAAATAATGAGGGAATTGCCAATAAAAATAGGATAATTATGATCATTTACGCTCAACATACATACACATATATATATATATATTAAATTGGTTAATTTATAATTTAATGCAAAGTATTTTTGTATAAAGATTTAAATAATTAGAATAGAAGAAACATATGTGAATTTTAAATATAGAACAAATAATTATTAAAATGGATTGTATTAAACGATCAAAAGTCACAAAATTTTAAATAAAATCATAATAAATATATACATGTATAACAAAAAAAAAAAAAAAAAAA